GCATATAGTTACAACTCCTTATAATCACCGGATTTTTGTTCTCCAACCCAGTGATAATATCAAGGTCATACTGTAAGAAGTTGAAGATATGAAGTAGGTTCTGTTTTATGGGTATAAGAATGTCCTACATTGGATTGGGAATCTCCGACCCTTTTCTCAAAACTTGAAAGGCTACATAATCTTCAACTTCAAAATCATCTCTTGTACTTCTAATTGGATTTTCGTAAGAAGTTTGTATGCAACAGCAACGACATGTAGGGTCAAACTTCATTTTAAGATCACCGCCACCAAAATCTATACCTCTGTGTTCAGTGTAAGGAGAATGATTGATCGCATAAGTTGCATTTCGGACATTACTAAGGATAGATTCACGTATGCTGCCATTTTTCAACGAAAATATGAAACTGGCATTTGTTTCTACAAAACCGAACATCCGAGAATTTGGTTTGTACCATGATAAAGGATTATAACCACCTACAATCTCATCTGTTCCCTTAATTTTTATGACAACTACCGTTTTGGGTATTTCTTTGCACAATGAATAGAACCTTTTAGCAGAAAATCCATGATGGCTGGCACGAAATATTAAGTTAAATTCATAAGGATTGTTGTTCACATTATATGGAGAGGAGCGTTTATCGATCCAGGAAGCAATTTCTGCAGTATGTTCTTCAGTGATTATGTCCGATGATAGATGAATTGGATTGATTTGGGGAGCAGGAAAAGTTGGACTTCTAGGACTATCTGATGAATAAGATAAAGACGAAGATATTTTTAGTGATGGCTGTATTGATACATTCCAACTGATTAATAATCGTAATATTTATATAGAAATACCTGGATCAGACAATCGTCGGACTATGTCATCCCAAATTTCTGGTTCCAGAATTCGATGATAAGGTTGAACCTTATCAAAAACATCATCAATAGAAAATTGATAATACCTAATATGTATTAAACATTCAGATAAAATAGCCTTTAATGCTTCAAAGCATTCATCAGTCCACGTTTCAGGCTTTGATGTTTGTGCAATTTGAGCGATTCCCCATTGGATAAGGTAATCCCAAATTTTTCCCTCACTCATTTTTAAATGTAATTCATCATTCCCGATAAGATTAATTAATGCTTTCTCAGGAAACAACGCAAAGTCATTAGATTTGAATACTAAATCTGGATATTTTACAGCAATATCCGTACACATAGTTTGCAAGTCAGCTAAAATATCTTTTTGATGGCAGATATTGTAAAGCCTTATAAAAGTTGAATCAGCCAAGTGATGCTTAATGACATATTGTCCAAGAAATATGGATAACTCATCAAGGCAAAATTTATTTGAAATTTCCAATAGATCCAGAAGAGTTGATGAGTTTAGGTTGTCAACGGAAATAAAACCACCGTATATGTATCTAGTCGTATTATTTATTTACTTTTTTTTTTAACAAAAATTCATATTTTTTACAGATATTGATATAAGATGATATTATAAAAGACTCACCTAAGAATAATATCAAAATGATAAGCAGAAACATTCTTTTGACTAAAGCATTTAGTGTTACTAATATTTGCGGTAGTTCTTCTTAATTTGTCACGAAAATAGGTTGAACGCTGAGATAAAATTGCTGAATGAGCTTTAAATACTCGGTAATTTGGCCTCTGACCGACCTCAATGATAACATTGTAACCTTCGTCGTCGTGTAGAAGCTGTGTGAAATCCCGAGACAAAGTTTCGAAAAATTT